CGGCTCCATCCAAACCGAGGACCTTTCAATTCGCAGCGAGCCTCGAAAAACTGGACCCCCTTTATCCCAGAGTCAGGGTGGGTTATGTTTTAGGGTCGTCCAAAGTATCGATACTCAAAAAAGTATTGATACTAAAACGTTGTATCTGGATACGATACTCATTTTCAAAAGTATCGATACTACCATTCTCTCTCTGATTTATTTATTTATAAAAGTACTGATACTCAAAAAAGTATGGATACTAAAACGTTGTATATGGATACAATACTCATTTTCAAAAGTATCGATACTACCATTCTCTCTCTGATTTATTTATTTATTTACGTTGTTTATGATCATTAACATGACGTTAGCCTTTAATTGCTAGCTGCGGCTAATGGCTAATAATAATAACACGCCAACATTAATCAAGTCTGCAGGAAGCCAAGGATGGATATCCAACTCCCCCACATCCAAGTCGGCCATTTTGATTAGGTCACCAATAGGAAGATCCCAGGCCAGAAATTCCTAATTGCTTCATGGCAATATAGACATTAATTTAAAAATAGTGAAATTAATCTTGCAAACACTGAATTCAACTCTATACATACTATTATGTTAAAATAGTGTATGTTAAATAGGTTTGTACAATAAGTCCAAACAAGTTTGACCCAAAAATATTTATTTCTCACAATTATGAAGGGTTAGAGTTAGGGTTAGGGTCATTAATGGCCACCATAACATCAGTAACAGGTCAGTTTGAAACCAAAGACACTAACCTGTAAAAATTCAGTAAAATTTTGGGGTCTTTGTTTTTATCCTTGTGGTATCGAAAACGGTATCGAACATTTTCCTGAGTATCGGTATTGACTTGCAAATGTTAGTATCGTGACTTTTTTTAACAAGCAGGCATCCCGTGGTATCGTGACTAACCCTAATATGTTTTGTTTTGGTGATGGTTGTTTGAGCTTTAGTTCTTTTAGTCATGTATGATAGGGGGGAAACATTCTTAAGCCATTTCAGAGTTATACATTACCATCCTTATTAATTTATTATTGATAAGTGGCCTAATAATCTGAAAAAAAACCCCAATGACCTGTAGAAAAGGGTTTTAAAAAAACAGAGCACGATAACCAGTATCACCACACGCCTAACTGAGAGTTAGCGGGAGCAGGTTTGTGGTCTTGGATCAGTTTTGGGACTGAAGTGGCTAAAAACCTTTTCCTTGCCACTCTTGCAGGACGTGAAGGATTTGACTCGTAGAAGTTGATTAAAAACTTGCGCGATCCGATGTAAAAAATGACTCGTTTTTTGCAAACGTAAACTTACAAAAACTTGCCAACATAAATAAAATAATTAACTTCACGATAAGAATAAAACAAAAAGTCAACCTTACGGTAAGTAAAGAACCAAAACGTGAATCTTACGGTCAAAAAACTGTTGCTCCTCGCCCTGCTCTGTTACCTTTTCTCTCGTACTCTGCAAACTGCGCACCTTTCGCTACTTAAACAGGACATCAAAGGAGAAAATGATCTATCAAATATCAAATGCGGAAAAACAATACAAAATAAACCCAAATGCCTATCAATAAACTAAACATTCTACATGCTTCACAATTAAATTATTCTAATCAGCAGATAATAAAACACAATATCTATATGGCTCTAACAGGGACCAATATGTTCTCTTGTTTTCTTTTTTTCTCAGGAGCCCTGACCAGTTCTGTCCCAAATGCAGCGGCTTTAAGGAGCAAACAGCCCCCACAGGGGGGAAACGTCCCAAATGGCTCCGCCCAGGTAAGGACGGCAGCAGCCAGCACTGAAGCTCCCGGCAGCTTCCTCTTTTATCCGTTCGTTTTTGTCGACTTATTTATTGGTTTTAATAGCTTGTGGATGTGGACTCCAGCTTGCTTACACTTACACACACACACACACACACACACACACACACACACAAGTACAGACTTCATGCATTCCTTGGACTCACTGTTACCTTTCCCTATGTGTCCTTGATGTTGTGATTTGACTGTATCTGTGCTTTAGTGTACTGAGGTGTTTTTTTTTATATCACTGTTACGTCCCCTGTAGGGAGCGTGGCACTGGGCCTTTTTTTCCCCTCTTCCCGCAACCACTTTCCCAATGTATTCTTTTTGTTCTGAATAAAATTGGTGCGCCCTCCTGTGTGGCTGCCCTCAGTCTTCCCGAACTGGTGTGTCTGTGTGTTTTGTTTGTTTGATCTTGGTACGGGCTGTACTGGAAGTCAATTTCTCCCTGGAGATCAATAAAGTATATTCAATTCAATTCAATTCAATTAAATTAAAAATGGAGCTAAAAGCTGGACCGATGAGCTTTAATTCAAGTTTCTGAAAGGTGCTATCTGTTTTTTATGCCATCAGGACGCCAACGATGGACGGCGTTCGTCGCTTTTGCAGCAACGTGCTAAGCTTGTTGAGCAGCTGCAAATCATGGATAAACTTGTGAGTGGGAACATTTTCATGTATATATACGTATATTTATATATCTCCCAGAGACCCCAGCTTTTATTTGGTGTGTGTTTATGCTTCAGCAGGACTCAATAAGTTTAATAGACAGAATTTGTCATGGCACTGCTAGTTTTTCTTCAGTAGTTTATACATTTGTATTTAAAATGTGTATCTATGTATTTAAAATTTTACCCAGAGATTGGGTTCTAAAAGTCCAAATGTTTTAATTACAACATTTTAATTACACAATAAGGACATGATTGATTGAAAATGTACACAATCATTTTATTTTAGATTTGAAAGATTTTTGTCTGATAGCATCTACTATGAGCCTAAGTGGTCAAAGTAAATAAAAAAATAAAATAAAAAAAAGTATCAAGGTAAAGAAGCAAAAATGCTGTGTCATCAAATGAGAAAGCTGGGACTTAGGAGTTAAAAACAAAAAAATTAAAAAGATAATGAAAAGGAAAAAAACTTATATATATTTCCTTTCATTATTGTTTTATCTATCTATCTATCTATCTATCTATCTATCTATCTATCTATCTATCTATCTATCTATCTATCTATCTATCTATCTATCTATCTATCTATCTATCTATCTATCTATCTATCTATATTAGTTAGTTTCCCCATCTCCTTTATTTTAGATGCTGTGTAATGCTGTCTCTCCCTGTTGTTTTTCTCCATTAAGCTGGAAGCGATACCTCCAGACGACAGCCATGAGGATCAGTTTTCCCACACTGCTGTCCAAGTAAGTTAAGATACAAGAAAAGATATCTCCACACATTAAACGCTCACCTCCTCGTTTCACCTCCTAGTGGGAGGACGGCCCCCCTCCCCGTGAGCGGACCAGTGATGAACCCCCTTCAGAGGAGGTAGCTCACTCCTAGCTCTTTGGATGCGTCGTGTTTGAGGTTCCCACTGAATAGGGTTGTCACGATACTAAAATGTTAAACTGGATACCGATACTCAGGAAAATACTCGATACTCAATACCATTTTCGATACCACAAGGATAAAAACAAAGACCCCAAAATTTAACTGAATTTTGACAGGTTAGTGTCTTTGGTTTAAAACTGACCTGTTACTAATGTTATGGTGGCCCACATTAATGACCTTAACCCTAACCTTAACCCTCCACCCTTCATAAATGTGAGAAATCAATATTTTTGGGATAAACTTGTCTGGACTTATTGTACAAACCTATTTAACATCCACTATTTTAACATCATAATATGTATAGAGTTTAATTAAGTGATTGAAAGATTAATTTAACTATTTTTAAATTAATATCTATATTGCCATGAGGAAATTACAATTTTCTTGCCTGGAATCTTCCTATTGGTGACGTAATCAAAATGGCCGACTTGGATGTGGGCTGAGTTTGCAGCCAGACGGACTTGATTAATGTTGGCATGTAATTATTAGCCATTAGCCGCAGCTAGCAATTCAAGGGTAACGTCTTGTTAATGATCATAAACAACGTAAATAAATAAATAGATAAATAAATAAATCAGAGAGAAGGGGGGGGGGGG